TCTGTCTGTCTGTCTGTCTGTCGGTCGGTCGGTCTGTCTGTCTGTCTCGCCTGCCTCCCTGCCTGCCTGCCTGCCTGCCTGCCTGGCTGGCTGGCTGGCTGGCTGGCTGTCTGTCTGTCTGGCTGGCTGGCTGGCTGGCTGGCTGTCTGTCTGTCTGTCCTGGCTGTCTGTCTGTCTGTCTGTCTGGCTGGCTGGCTGGCTGGCTGGCTGGCTGGCTGGCTGGCTGGCTGTCTGTCTGTCTGTCTGTCTGTCGGTCTGTCCGTCCGTCCGTCCGTCCGTCCGTCCGTCGGTCGGTCGGTCTGTCCGTCCGTCCGTCCGTCGGTCTGTCTGTCTGTCTGTCTGTCTGTCTGTCTGTCTCTCTCTCCCCCACATGGCCTCTGGTGAAAGAGGGAATCCGCCTTGGCGTTGATGAAGAAGCTCACCTCAGAAACCACGCAGCTCATGGTTCTTAAAAGGGGCCAGATCAAGATGGGATTCCCGTGATGGATTATCAATAAGGCTACGGCTATAGGCCATGGCTGTCTCTCTGCACATGGAAATCGACATGTTGCTTCATCCCAGCAGAAAAGTCGCGGCACCTTAGCATCCTTCGCAACGAACTTCTGGCCATGTCCAGGATAGATCCTGCATTGGAAACCACTAACAAATCCTGGGCCTTCTGAAGGCGGTGAGAAAAGTGTTTGTTCTTGGGAACATAGAAGTTTAAGCTGGTTGTGGAATCCATCTATTATGATGAGACATGGGATGTTTACAACCTTGTGCCCACTTCATTGTATTGGATGTGCAATAGCCCAAGCATGCTTTGGGGGGTCGGTGCAACTTCCCTGCCAAGTAAAGTGCACTTGTGCTGTTCAACTTGGCTTTCACCGTCCCAGGTTTAAGAGATATGTGATTTGATCAATACTGCCATGCACGCAAAGCTGAAGCCGAGAATATGTGGGTCCTGTACTCGGTGTAGCTACACAGGTCTGTTTTGATCACCATGGCTCCTAGTCAACTCTACGGCGGGCTGAGCCAATATCCCTGGATCCACAAAGCACGACCGGCGTAACATGAGCCACAAAGCACCGCCGTACAGGGCAAGAAAAGAAAGAGCAAACGCCGGCATTGTGTAGCTTGAAACATGCTTGAAAATCGTGAACACCTAAGGACCTATCAGCATCTTCTTGCTTCGTGTCAACTTCCCAGCCTGGAGCTTGCTGCACCTCCGGCGCCTGGGGACGTGTTTCTACACGACTCGTGTTGAACCACCGTTTTGATGGCAACTCACACCACAACAACATCCCATCATTCGTCAGGACTGACCAGGATCCACTTGATCCGTGAAAATCGATACAATGGCAACTGAATGTCATGTTATACAGTTTTATGTTCACAACCACTTTAGCACCATGGGTCCATGACACGAGCTTCTCAACCCTTGCCTTGCACAGGATCTGTTAGTCAGAGAGTGGTTTCCAATGCATAGCTGCTTGTTTCGGCGGGATGAAAACAATTGAGGCCTACTTTAAAACCATTGGCTGGTCGAGTCCCTCTGCGCGCACCTGCAATCGTGAGCGCTTCGCGGCTGGGCTTGGAGATCTCTCGTCTCGGGACGATGCCATGAGCCCAACAACAAGAAGCAGGCAACGGTAAGCAGGATCACAACTAGCTGCAAGCCGTTTTGTGTTACACATCCTGCTTATATACTTCATATGTGTGTCCAAAATGCCGGTGACAAAGTCGAAAGCAGGAAACTCTGCTTTCAAAGTGACCTGTTAAGCTCACGTTTACATCTTCGTTGAACTCAGCATCCCTCAACTCACCTGAAGCTCCATCCGCCTCGGAGGGCGGCGCATTTGCTCGCCCTCGTCCACGGCGAGAACCACGGCCACGAGGGGCTGTCGCCCCTGGTGGGTGGAAAGAACGCCAAACAAAACAGTGACGACTCAATGACCATCAAGTTATCTGAGTGGGTCACAATTCCCACCGAACCCTCGCAAGAGCTTGTCCATCTCTGTGACCAAATCGTTAAGCTAAGCTATATAAATCGCAATCAAAAAGCAGAATTCACCACGAGAATATCGACTGTCACACTTCTGACTTCTGGCCTTCACCACGCGCACCCCGTGCACTCCGTGCCCGCGCAGCCCGCCCACCACGACAACGACCACGGTCAGCCACCTGGCTATCGAGTTCAGTCTGCAATCCACAATTGAAGCCTCCACAATTGAGGCCAACATCTTTAGAGAATCCCCAAGTCGATGGAATCAAGAAACAAAGGCTGTTGAATTCGTGAGGCTTTCACACAGGCAAAGAAATGATTGTGTTTCCACAAAAATTATGTTACTGGAGCCCCTCGTCAGAGTCATAGTGCTACATCGCCACATGTTCCCCTCCTGCTCCCCTTCCACTTCCCGAGGCGGCAGGGCGGCAACCTGATGAGCTTTGGTCGTGGCACAAACCACATCGCTTCATCGATCTACAAGGCCTTCACAAGCTCTTGGCCTCCGGCATTTGCGACACCCATCCTTGCCCACCTTTTCTCCTTCCCAGGTTGGCTGCAATGCTGCACAAAAAGGCCTTACACCGTCTGGCAAGTCACAAGGCTGCTTACTGTATGCAGAATCATTGCGAACCAGTGCCCTTTATCACCTCTGTCCTGCACTTCGTCATGCAACGAACGCTCCTGCAAAGTGCCAAAGTGCAAGTCCACCGATGCCTTGCTTCAACTGACTACAGTTCCTGTGTCATAAACAACTTTCAACCGCTCCTTGTCAATTTTTGCCTGGAGCACCAAAGCAAACCGTTGGAGGAGCCCCCGATGCTGCTTCTTCGCTGCTGCCTCAAGGTCTGGTCAAAAGGCTTGCAGGGCTCATATTGCCATCGGAACGGTGTATTCAGTTTTTCGAGAAACCTAGACCTAATAGCAATGGCCTCCAACCTAATAGCATCCAAATGACTTTCAATGATGAAGGAAACAAAGTAAACATCCGACATCATTCATGACTGCCCCTTTCGACCTTTATGCCAACAATGCTCACCGAGCCACTGCCGCATCTGTCCAGGAGCCCTCCAAACGCGAGGTCTCCCGCCGCAGGGCCTGCCCGACTTTCGCAATGTATAGACTGGCAGTGCCTACAATATAAAAATCACAATCTCTTCATCGATTGTTTTACCGCGTAGAAATACCTTGGAAAGAAAAAAAATAACAAACAAACAAACAAACAAGCAAAACAAAGGGGGTTGGGAAAATGATGAGGGAATCCCACCCCAAAGAGTTCTTTTCTGCCGTATATACATCTTCTTTTTGAACGCCTTGCCTCCAACGACTCGCCACTCTCCTTCAGCGCGGCCTGGTGACATGCCTGTGCCTGTGCAGCAGACCTGCAAGCAGACTCGCGCAAATGAGAACAACCCATCAGAGCAAGGACGCTACTAGGGCTAGGGGCTCCTGGCATCGCTACTAGGAACAAGAAGCTACTAGGAGCAAAAGGCATCGCTACTAGGAACAAGAACGCTACTAGGGTTACTAGGGGTCTTAAACCGATGAACGTGGAGAGGTGATGCACTGGCGTATCTCCCCGTTGCGAGAGCAATCTTCAATGGATGGTGGTGTTCACTCTAGGATCACATGTTCTTGTTCGGACCCTTTCTCCACAAAATGTGTTGCCTCACTTGAGCTCACTTGGCATGCTTCAAACAATAGCAAAAAACCTTGACTTCGTAAAAACTGTATCTGCCTTCTGCCATGCATTCATGTCCATTCAAGTCCATTTCTCTTGTCTTTGCCTTTTTGGCAAGAAATGGAGCTGAAATATAAAACACATGGACTTGGACCATGCCAATTTCAGATCTCCCTTTAAAGGGAAGAACTCCTATTGTGTTCCTTCCGGAATAGCGCCCACTATATATGTATATATATAGTTATATGTCTATCCAAACCAAGACCCTTTCCGTTTCGGGCCTCAACACACGAAGGAGGTCACTGCCAGAGCCTGACCTAGGAGTTGACAAAGCTTTTGTCAGAGTTTCGCAAGTATTTGTTTGCAGTAAAGAGAGATGTTTCAAGATTGGAGTGTTCATGGTAGTTGGGTGCTGTTGATTCGTTGATGCTTGGGCGTCACGATTGCTTAATGACTTGATGATGTATGTTGTCTTGGTTCTTGGACTAGAAAAGTAACAGTATTCCTACGTATTCCTAAAGAACTGCACAAATTGAGGGCTTCAGCTGACTGCAAACTGCAGAGCCGGGACTCCCTGCGCATAGGCGTTCAGGATCTCCACCACACATCCACCCAGCTCAGGGCCGGTCAAGCCTACCTGCATGAGTCTCCTAAAGTGGACATCAATGACCATCCGGCCAGGTGCGCGGCGCAGGCGCACCTCGTCCTGATGAGGTGAATCTCCACAGGTCTGCTGGGCCATCACCAGCATCAGTCGCTCCAGCTGCACATTGGTCCATGCCATCAGTGGCCTCCCCAGATGGTGCTGTTGCAAGCGGGCTTCTAACAACTCAGCCGTGTTCCGCACCCAGAGCTGCACAGTGCAAATGGGCTCATCTGGATCATCGGGAAGCTTGTCAGGGAGAGCCGGATGCCAGTGCAGCAACACATCGGCTTCATCACCACCGCTAGATCGCCAGAGTACAAAGACTGGCGGTTCGCATCTAGTTCGCACGATTCCAGAAGCAGGTCCATCCTGAGGAGCTCCACTGGCGAGCGAGAGCTCATCAATTGTGGACATGAGAGGGATTGAAATTCATGGCTTGGTAGTTGAGCTATTGAACAAATGCCACGACCTGAAGCAGCCAGTGCAGGCACCTTCTGTGACTTTGCTGTTGTTGCTTGAAACTCTGTGTTTCCTCAGCTTTGAGATTGGAAAACTTGGGTTTTTTAGCTGCTCAAGAATGCAATATATTTGTATCCACTAGCCACTAGCACTGTCGCCTAACGTCCATGAGTGAGTGGTTCTTCGTACAAGCTTGTATCTGAGACTTGAGTCACCACACCTAGCTGCTCCACTTCACGCTGGCATGGATGCTCACATCCAAGATCTCCAAGAAATGCAACTCTACCAGGAGGTAGTGGACTTTCCCACATTTTCATACTCTACGTGCAGTCTTTTTGAGTCTTCGTTCTAGTTCGTGCTTGAAAGGCAGCTCCCAGGCGCCCATGATGTGTGACGTCCCCTTTTTCTGCCCCCGAAGGTGGCGAACCTGCCATGTTCTTCCGGCACAAGTCGCCCGATCACCACCCTGTTGGATCTAGTGGAACACCGTTGGATGCGCAAGGTAAGCTGCCAAACGAACTGCTTTCAAGATGAAGAACATCTCTACATTCCTGCCCTTTCAAGTTTTCTACCGATATGGCAGAATGTAATCCATGTTGGTAATCAGTGGAATCCGCATTCAAAAAAAGTAAGGGAAGAAAGTTCTAGGTTGGAGGCCATCGCTATTGGGTTGGAGGCCATCGCTAATGGTTTGTGAGTGCTTGCGCTGCACCTCCAGCAATGGTCGCACTGCGACGTCAGGCAAGCAAAGCAGCCCCTGGTGGGAAGGCTTATGGCGTCGAGCACACCCTAATGCCAATGAACCACACAAACCTCTTCCTCACAATTCAGCTGGGTCTTCCTTCAGGATTTGTTTGTTTGACTCTCCTCATGGCAGATCCAGCCAAAGCATGGGCCTCCAGATGTAAATCCCGAAGGCGGCTCACCTTTCTAAGGAACAATTCATCCACTGCAAATCTCCAGGAGAAAAGCAACCAACTCAAAGCAGAATACGGTGCGACTACAACAAGTTGACTTACAAGTTACGAGACACACAAGAAGTAAGAATCATCCATGCTTCATTCCACAAATGTTCCCAACATAGGTGCTGACCAATGACCAAGGTTTGCCTGTCAATTTCATTTGGAAAGACAGCAGTCTAGGAAGTGTCAAGGGTCTGAAGGGTAAGACTAGGCCGACAGAATTGCCTAGAACCACACCTACTGGCTTTCGGATGGTTTGGCGGCACCAATCACCAGTCTACCAAATCTGCCAAAAAACACAACACGGTGACACAGAGTTTCACATATCATGATGACATGCTTTACCTGCTGACCATACATAGGGGCTCCTGGCATCGCTACTAGGAGCAAGGACGCTACTAGGGGCTCCTGGCATCGCTACTGGGAGCAAGGACGCTACTAGGGTCTCCTGGCATCGCTACTAGGAGCAAGGACGCTACTAGGGGCTCCTGGCATCGCTACTAGGAGCAAGGACGCTACTAGGGGCTCTTGGCCTTACTACTAGGAGCAAGGACGCTACTAGGGGCTCCTGGCATGGCTACTAGGAGCAAGGATGCTACTAAGAAGGCTCAGACCGGACCCCATTTCACGCCCGCGTCCAAGGAGGAGCCTGCAGCCTCAATTGGCCTGCACAGTGGGATGCACGTAGTGCCGTGCAACCTCCGCCCAAAAAACTGGAAACGGTGTTGATGACAAGTTCCTCAGCATGAATCCTGCCTGCGCTCTACCAGTGTTACAATGCTACAAGTATCCTGTTGTAGGGGATCCCATGGCTTCTAATCTACGGTTTGCTTCTAGGTTGGAGGCCATGGCTTTTAGAAACAATCGGAATGGTTTGTGAATCCTTCTAATCTACGGCTTCAAAGCATGAGAAGCACTCGCTCTTCCGTTTCCCTTGATCCGTCCTGAGGCTCCCTTCAAGGCCCAGGAAGTCTGTGCATGTTGATGGTCGCAGATCGCCACAAGCCAGAGATAATCACCGCCTAAAGTCGGCCACGGCGATGAGTTGCGACACAAAGACAGAAATAAACCAGTAACAGTTCGTTTCAAAGTAAAGAACGTAAGTTCATTTGCGATGTTGAGCCCACAACCAAACCAATGCAGGCCCCGACCCATTCAATCCCAACACACCATAAACGAAGCTATCATGACCCTGGGCCCGAAACTGCTCGGCCTAGTGAGGCAACTGCACGCGCAAGCAAAGCATACCTAGGTCCGAAATGCTCTGGGACCCTGCAATGAAAATGATCTCAGACTTGGGTATCGATTCTCGGGGGGAACCTAAGGAAGCCTGTTACAATTATACCAGGAACCTGAGGTGCCAAGAACCTTTTGTTTCGACATCATGGACCTCACTCAAGACCTCAGGTGCGAGGTTTCTCCTGAGCTGCCCTGCTGCATCAGCGCCTCGCCACCCAGTGGTGAGTAACTCATGGACGACGAAGCCTGCACACTGAGGGGGTAGGCCGCTAGTAGAGGTAGGCCACAGAAAACCCTCCAGCTTTATGCAAAGAACCTTGGTATTAAGCCCCCATACCACCCACTGGGTTTGGTCCCCATGGATTTCTGTCAGGTTCGTATTACCACCGATCCTGTTGTAAATTTGGACTATTCTCAATGTTATCATTTTCGCAAAAAACTCCGCGAAGTGTGGAACAAGGGTGGGGATCTCGACACTTTGGTGCCTCCGCCCCCACCCAATTAGGTGCTTGAATTTTGATTTTGCACGATGCATACATTCGTCGTATCCAGCCTACTTGCAGCGGGGACATTCGGTTTCACGTAGTTAGTGGAGTACGACTCACCCTGTACAGTCATTTTCCCGTGTCTTTTCACACGGTCTTGGGGTTTTGTAAGATAGCTATGTCTTGATCCTATTTCACCAACTCCCGGGTACCCATCACAAGATGAAGGGCCATCGGGAAGCGTTTGGACGTTGCGCAAATTCCGTCGGTAGGTTAGCTAGAGTAGTAGAAGCTAGGTAGCTAGTAGCTAACAAGTAACTGCTACCGACAGGATGCAGGATAGCGTGACTTCAAGGAAGCTCCCCCCGCCGCCCTAAAGGCGGGGGAAAGCTTCCTTGAAGAAGAGCTCGCACTAATGATTTTTAGGGAAACTAAAGCATTCTCTTCATCCTTTCCCTGGAAAGGTGGTCTTTGGATGTGATGTTCTAATTCCGTACTCCAAGGAGCAATGACCCAACCTACTTCAAAGTTCAAGCTCTTCAATCTCGGAATCCTGCTCGCTCTCGGTGCTTATGTCTTTCAAGGGAGATCCAGCACACACTTTGAACTGGTTGCAAGTAGGCTGAGTAGGCGAGGTATAGGCAGAAATGACCCATGCAGTCTGGCCCATTGGGCCTCTGACACAGCACGCCGCAGCACATTTGCCAGCAGCGGCGCAGGAGCAGCAGCAGCAAGGGCCTGCCAAGCAACCAAATGAACGAGCAAATCCTGCTGCAGATTGCGGACCTGTGCCGCGAGAGCACGGATCAAAGAAATGAAAAGAACCAAACTGATTGACAGCTTTGTTTACAACCACCCCGAATGACAAACTCTATGGAGCACCAAGCAAGGGTTGCCAGCTGCTTCATAAAGGCACGGGAGCGTTCAAACTATATGTGGACTTCCAACTTGACTAGGCCTTTTTTGCCAAATCAATTGATTCAATCGTCATGTCATTATGGCAAGCATGGATCGCCCAATTCAACTATTGTCTGAGTGGTTTGGGACCTCCGAATTGGCCAAGTCTCCTCCATGGTTTCGAGCAGCGCCAAACACTGCCGCCACTTCCATGCGCTCCCCAAAGAGCTAAGAGCTGTTGAGTAACTGGTGGAATCCGCCATGGAGCCGAGCTCCTCTCATCAAGGAACATTCTTTAGGGTCGAGGGGTATATGTAAAGAAATGTAGAGACAGAAGTGCAAAAAAATTCCTCTCCGCTCTTCATGTTGTTCCATTCGCTTTGGTTGCACAAAGATTGTGTGTAACCCTGTTGTTTTGGTTTGAGGGAAGGATGAAGAGTTCATTCAATCTTCCACAACGAACCCAACAACTGATGACTTTGACTTTGACCAAACCTCATGCATGTGCAACAAACAACGCAGGTGGAAGCAAACGCCAAACAAAAGGAGACAAACAGCGCAGGCAAGAATATGTACTGTAAACAAAGTTGACAGATGGAAACAGGTTCGGCAAACAAACGACAAAACAAAGACCACACAAACAATGTGGCGTTGTTAGGGAACCTGCAGTTTCAGGCACACGCCACAATGTGCAGGTGGTAAATTTTGTTTGGAAAAAAACATGTTTCCATGCTTCTGCAGAGTTGCAAAGGTTCATGATTGTATGGTCTATGTCATAGCAGTGGACTTCAAAAAATCACGTGGAATAGCATGATCCATCTCTTGAAATTCGTCCCACGCGTCAATATCAACCAAAAAGAACTTTCTAGACGACTAGGGAGAAGTGCCCTGACCAGCCGCAACAGAACCACCAAATACAACGAAAGAACTGCGCGAGCTGTTTGAAGCCAAGCATCTAGAACGTGTTTCCTCTGTTGTGTGAATGCACTCGAGACAGGTTGCAATCGCACCCCCACCCCTCTACCCCCTCCCACCCCGCCCCGATTCTCCAAAAATGGTCCAAAACGACGTGGCAACTCATGACACCGGCAGCACAAACAAGCAACGAAAATAAAACAAATCGAGTTGCACCAAACAGAAACAAACAAACTGTATTTTACAGGATCAGCTCTAGTAGCACTAACTACCTAGCTAACCCTGTACTACCGCTAAGCGTCCCTTTTAGCTCTACCTTGAGAACTCACGCTACGGGGTCCATGGGGATGAGGTGAATTTCAACACCCCCCTTTACAAGGAGCTACCCGTAGGGAAAGTCTCGGGAGGATCAAATTCTAGCGACGAAGGAATCATATTAGAAATCCCTCATCAAGCTCGTGCATGCACTATACAAAGAGAACGTAGCTACCCTAATGTACAACCTACCGGCTCACTCGGCATGTAGTTATACATGCTAGACCCAGTTCTAGATAGAGTATTGATTAAAAGTTCACTCTCCGACTAAGGCAATCCTGTTAGGGATGCAATACTGCGTGAGACAATGCGGTGAAACATCATCTCACTGCGGGTCAGAAGGTGATCTCCATCTCAACACTCATAGGCTGTATGGCATACCAGTTATGGTAGCTGTTCAACATGTTCATTTCAATAATGCCTGTAACCAAATCGCTCTGTATCATCCTGCCAACCATTTTCCATCCACTCACGAAGCTCCATGTGATTGGGCCAATAGTTGTCGGCCCATGGATCTGTACGCTGCCATTGTACCCCTGGAAAATCTAAAGGTTCCAATGGTCGCTCATCTGTGCCTCGAACTGTAGGCTGCCCAGTTACGGGAGCGTGTGAGGACGACGAGGATGATGGAGCTCCTGAAGGTAATGGTGGCGGCGGCACATTGTGCAAATGCCATGGCCGTGCCTCATATGGACCTTCTCGAAGATGCCCTCGTTGCTTGCCTTTGCCCTTTCCTTTTACGGAAGGTTGCAACCGGTTGTAAAGATTGGCAAGAGGCGGTGGCTTCGGCGTCAGGTGGAAGTCCGCTGGCCTGGTGTGGGCTGGAATGCCGCTGGCCGTATTGGGTGGAACTTTCGGCGGCGGTGGCCTCAATGGTTGCCATTTTGGCGGCGGTGATAGACCAGCCATCGGTGGATGAGCTGGTGCTGGAAGTGGAGGCGGTGATATAGGAGTTTGTTTCATTGGCAGTGGCGGCGGATAGTTTGGTGGCTTTGGAATTTGCGGTTTAACTGCTGGAACTGGCGTGGCGGACCGAGGAGGTCCTTTGGAATGTTGCCTCTTCTGGGCGCCCTGTCCTCAGGGAGGAAAGACATTGCACGGCCGATGGAACCTCGCGGCGTCCCTTTTGCGGGAGCTGCAGATCCTTCTGTAGTAGAACTACCTCGGCCCTTGCCCTTGCCCTTGGGGGCAACATTCTGTTCTGCGTTGACATTCCGTTTAGGGAAGTCTTCCTTTGGAGATGCTGATTCTTGAACAGGAGGTTGTGGTGGCCTGTACACCGATGACGTATGCGTCCCAGTTACGGGAGCTGGTGGTTTCGGCACACCAGGCAGAGGAACCTGTCCATGATGCGAAGCGACCAGATTGGTCCCGTTCCTCTTTCTTCCTCCACTGTAATCTTGGTCTCTTATCAGCATCGTCAACACCCTCAATGTACGACTGCGGAAGCTTTCGGGTCAACGGCGGCCTAGTTACAGGCGCTTGAGGAGACGGAGAATCTCGCTGACCGAATTCCAGCAATAGCTGTTCCAATCGCAAAACTTCATACGAAGTCATATCCTGACCGCAATCCGCAAATTTTGGAATAGGTGTGGCCATACGTTGTTCAATGTTCATAAATCCCATTTGTCCAATCGATTGCCCACGATCTCGCTCCTGCAAATATATTAGCTGACTGCTGGGCATTCCGCTGGTACTGCACATTGGCAAAATGTTCATTCTGTTCCGCAAATTCACTCAAAATCTTGTAAGTGCCCATCGTGTCTCCACGAGGAATGCGGGCGCAATGAATGTCACCGTAGACGTCGTCCGTGGACATAAAACCCTGGATCTTGACCTCGTCTCGGCTGTTGCCAATTACGGCAGCAAATTGTCGAAGGGATAAAAATTCGCGACGATAGCTGATGAGGAAATTCTCGTCGAGCCCTTGCTTGAAACAGGTATGAAGGTTGTCGACACCGCATCGAATGTACGCGAGCTTGGCAAGGTCGACTCTGTCCTGTCGGTCCAAATCGCTGACAACTGACTTCCCTTTCGATCGCTGCTTGGCGGATCGCGAAGGTGCTGGCAGTTGCAGCGACGCAAACAAGTCTTCCTGCGCTGCATCAAATGCAGTGCATCCCTCTCCGGTTAAGGAGGTGGCGAAGACATCATCGCGGTTGAACCGATCATAAACATTTTCATACCCTGCTTTCAATGCTCGGCGAAGACGGCCTCGTGCTGAAAGAATAGTTTGACTATCAACCGATGGATTGCCACGAGCAGGAGGACGACCTGACTGTAGATCTTGTCCGGCAACGCTGTCAACCATGCTGGTAGATGTCATATTGGTGGGAACACCCCCCTGCTGTTGCACCGTCTTTGCACGTCGCATCTGTAATCTCTGAAATTTGGAAATAGGACCATCAGTTGAACCACCCTGCAAGACCGCTCCGCACCTGTGACACGACGCCATTCCTGCTAAGGAAAGTGTTGTGCACTTGTCGCAACTAAACGTGCGGAGGTGGAGGAAATACCCGCTCTCAATTCGAGGATTCCTTGAACCGTTCCTGGTCCCACGTCTTCTTGTTGAGAAGCTTGTCCCACTCCTTATCCAACGATGCCTGAGCATCCTTGGATGCTGCGATTTCCTTTTTGTTGAGCACTTTAGCTACTGCAGCAAAGCAGGACTGGAACTTAGTAAGGTTTGGTGAGAAGTTTAGCTTCGTCGGTAAGCTCTTTTATCTTATCTTCCACTAGCTGTCGCGCGTCGCTGCGATGAGGTTCATATACATTGTGTTCCACGGGCATGGCAGGAGCAGCTACCATAGCTGGAGGGGGTTCGCTTGGGCTTCCTTCTATGGAAGCTTTATCGACGGCCTCAGCTGTTTTCTTCTTTTGTTCGAGCTCTTGTTGGTAGTCGTTCCACGCCTTCTTACGTTGCTTGTGGCTCACGTTCTGCCACAAATCGGTTGGGAATCCCGGAACTCTTTTGGAACCTTTCTTTTCTCGAACAAGTCGAACCCCATCATAAACGTAACCCTTTTGGGACTGGTTTTCCGTCAGGAAACATGTATGGGTTAACCGATGGGTCATAGTAAAGCTCGAACAGAGTTGGTTCTCTTTCTTTCTTCTCTTTGCCTTTCTTTTCCATTGGCTCAGCTTTTAAGCTGGCCTGTTCTCATTTCAGATATCTCTGCTTCAAATTCTGGCGCCCCTGATGGTGAGCCTGGGACCTCAGCTGGTTCTTCTTCACGTACGTCGGGCTGATCCGGTCCTGGGTCATCACCATCTTGGTCATCGCCATCCGGTGGGTCGTCTTCATCATCCCCTTCGGGTTGATAATCTAACTCCTGAAGATCGAGCACCGGCTTCTCCTTATAATGAAGCGGAAAGATGAAATCACCATTAGGCAAAGCAACACGTTTGGTTCGTACCCTTTCCAAATGTCCTTCTTTCAAGAAATAATCTAAACTGTCAACATTCGCAACCAAATACTCTCCCCTCCAAACATGTCCGGCCTGAATATTGTATCCAAAGAAAACACCTCTCTTGGCATTGGGAGCAAACTTACCTCTCTTTGGTTCATACTTTCCCTCCCAAAAGAAAAGAAGACATCCGAAAGGAAGTTGTCTACCAAGGAACCCATCGTCAAAACGCAGTGTCCAAGGTGGGCCACCACCGTTCAATTGTTTGACAATGTTGATGGCCATGGCATGGTGTTTGGAGGCATAAGGCCATAAAGACAAAGGCATGTTGGCCTGAAGAAGATTGGAGCGCGCCCCTTCCAAAATGGTACGGACTTCTCGCTCAACAACCTCTTTGGTAGAATGTTGATACTCAACAGAAGTCTGATGTTTGAATCCAAGTTCTTCGATGGCATCCAACATTTCGGGAGCGTTATCAGTGCACACAATACCAACAAGATCCGAGGTCTTCAGAAAATGCTTGAACGCTTTCACAGTTGAATCAGCAGTTTTGTTTTCCGAAGGGTAAACACAACGGTATTGCGTGTACACATCTTTGATCACCAACATGGATGTCTGACCTTCAATCCCTTCTCCAATATCTTTGGGAATGACATGGTCGCATACAATGTGATCCCCAAAACCACGTGCCAACACATGTTGCGGTCACTATCCTCTCCTTCCTCCCGTTCCTCATCGGCATTGGCATCTACGCCAGCTTCGTCATCCTCTTGCTCCTCTTCAGGTTCGGACTCATGGCTGGCCATGGCAAAGCCCTGGTCGATGGTGAACTAGTGGATGGAGTCGAGTACCTTAGTGAGGCGTGTCCTTAGTGACTCAGGAATAGAAAACGGGGTGCATGTTTCATCCATATATGGAACCCTACCTTGCAACTTGAATCTAACACATTGTCCATCAGGTCGAAGAAAAATGGGAGTGGTATCCTTTCCCCAAACAAAATCATACCCCTGATCTAAGCATCTCAAGCCAATTGAGAGTGCGGAGGGAGTTCTTTGAAGAATGTAGGGACTAAGGGATTCACGCAATCCCGGAAGAATCACCTCAACTACATCTTCGGCGAATCTTCGGCGGTAATGGGACCATTGGCAGTAGTGAGGGAAATGGGTTCATTGGACTTGAAGATCTTAGTGGCCCTGTTGACAGTCTTCGAATCTTTACCTACGATATCCTGGTCAGTGCCAGTATCTCCCAACCACTTCTCCATACCAACAGTACTTGGCATCGCTGTTACGCGAGCACATGAAGGTACCTCTTCACCGGTGACCGTCCTACACTTTGCGCAGCACAAGTCATCGGGGCCTTCTGGGGAATGATCGCACAGGCAATCACACGCAGGCTCCTCGGTATCCATAGATTCGAGCGTCTGCCTACGTGACCCCGCTGCCAAAATGGCGTCCTTAGTGTCACACTCGCGGGATTTTGGACATTCCTCAGTGGTCCGGAACAGGTTCCGCTTTCTGCTCTTATTCACTACATGCCGGTACATGTCCTTCCAAACAGGAAAGGTGTGTACCTCTGGTTTGAATTCAAAGCGAATTCTCAACACGGAAAATCGACTTCCCAGTCCAATCAAACTTTTGTTTCGCGTTTGGGTGTTTCTTCCAATTACCCTTAAATGTCCTACTCTTCCCCTTCGAGTCGATGACTACCATGGTGAACTGGCTTTCCATCCTGGATGACTCCACAGGACAGGATTTACGTGTAGGGAGAAACGACCTGTTCCTAGGCTTCAAATGGTGCCTAATCAATTCGGCGCCATCCTTGGAGAATTCCCAGTAGTCTTTGCTCTTTTGAGTTTGAGTAGCGGTTGCTGCTAAGCAAGACATTGCGAAACCTTTTTGAATACATGGACTGGCCTTTGGACTCTTTTCCTTCTTTTCCCTTTTGCTCTTCTCGTCCTTCTTGGATTTCTTGTCCTTGGACTTTCTAGCCGCGGGAGAGGGACTTCTTCTGCGTGGGGCTGGCGTAGCCGTGTCGCCGTGTTTAAACGGGCATTTGTCACCCCTTTTGCAGTTGCCCTGTGCATAGAACCTGCATGGCTTCTCAGATTTTCTGCCTCTACGTGAGCTTCTTGATGAGTTCCTAGAACTGCTTCGGGAAGACGGTCTTGATGAGCTCCTGGATCGACTTGACCTAAAAGACAAGCGACCGCTTGAACTTGCACTACGACTCCCGGCTAAGGGAGCGGGGACGGGCGCTAGAGTCGTGTGAGTACTTGCATTTGCTTCCGTACTTGCACTTGCCAGTTTTGGCGAACTCATAGCATTGATTGCCACCGTCACCCTTCGCGCTTCGTTTGCCATAACTTGGGCTTCGTGCGCGCTTGTCATGTGGTGCTGGATTTGCATATTTGGCTGAATGCGATTGAGAGATCTTCTCTCGATTGGTCCTTAGCCTTTCTCGATCAAGATACCGTCTAACAGAGTTAATGAGGAATTCATAGCTTCTGTCATTACTTCTTTCCGCAGCACGTTCATAAACATCAAGATCAAATCTGAGTTTACGGGACTTCCTGACCTCTCTATAGAAAAGATCCTTGAGCGTTGCCGGGTCAGGCGCATGACTCATTCCGGTCAACACGCTTTCCCATTTCCTAAGAAAGGACTTCAAGTCATCGCTGTCAAGCGAGATCTTCAGAAGGTCTTCCGTGCCATACAGTGCACCCGCTTCTTCACTAGTTTTGAAATGGACTTCAAACATGAGCAAAACCTGACGACCACGAACAATCCTACCCTGCTGCGCCTCAGATTCCTTGTTATTAAGGATCTGCTGAGACAGTTCACCTTAGTCAAAGCAGCAAGGAGTTTCGTATCTAAGGTCCGGGATCCGGAACTTGCCTGGGTCAGCCAGCTCGGAACAAAGCTTTGCTTTGTCCTCCCGAACGGCGTAAACCTCAAGCACCCACGCGAATGCGGCATCTGGGTCATCAAACACGGACCGGATCGCTTCGCGAACTGCGGCCCTCCAAGTGCGGTACCTGTCAGGACTTCGGAATTCAGGGAGGTCTATCCCTTTTAGCACCCTTAAATCCCTCTAGCAAGGCCCTCTTGATGATTCCCCCAGATCTTGGTCTTGTGGAGTTCTTACCTGAGATGCCGGCCCTTCATCTTTGCGGTCATCTTTGTTCTGTGCTGCATCCTGGTTAAAGGAGCTTTTGTACAAAGGATCATCGCTGAAGTTGTACTGCGCCGACTTCTTTTTGTACTCTGTCCAAGGATCTGGTTGTTTGAACTGTTGCCTATCCGTGGAAGCTGTAGCTTGTTCCGTTGCGGCCGCCCCTGTTCCAGAAAACATTGAAGGAAATCCTGTATTGCGACTTGTTGCATTTGTATCCATTGCCGTCTTTAAAGGAATTCCGCCTGCATCTGGGGGCGAACCTTCTAAGGTTGCTGGAACTGAGCCTTCCGTACGAAGAGGTTCGTATGAACGAGGTTGACCAACGGGAAGAACATTTGGTTGAGCAGGAGGTGGAGGCGGCTCTTGATGTTGTGGCCCTGGTTTAACGGGGCTTGCGGCTTGCGCCTTGCGCTGGGTTTCCTTGCGCTCCTCGTCTCTGTCCGTCAAGGCCTGCGCAACACGCCTGAGCTCGTCCATTTCACCTTTCAACATAGCATTGTCCTTACGTAGCTCAACAATGGTTTGCTCTTGATTTTCCCTGTCAACGGTGTTCTGTTTCTTGGTTGATTCCATTTCACCAATAAGCGTCTTGATCTTGGCTTGTGCAATCGCCAATGAACTGGTCAGTTCCTCGCGCTTGAACTCTAGATCTATGGCAACGCGTTTTTCTTCGGCTGACGAAGACCTGGCCTGGTCCGTTGCCTCAATTGCTGCCTTGAGTCTAGATTCTTGCTGCTCGGTGTACTGACGGTGTTCAGTTCTCAATCTGTCAACAAATGCATTACCTTCCTCTGTTAAGGCGTTCTTCTCTTGTACAACCTTTTCGTGAGCCATTGTTGCCTGAGCTAGCCGTTGTTGAAAATGCTCTCTTTGCTCTTCCAACGTACCTTGCAATCGCTTGATCGCAACGTTGTCATGCTGTTGGACCAATTGCTGAACATGTTGTTCCTGCTGTTGGGCCCTCTGTTGAACATTCAACACTGCCTGCTCTGCTGCAACTTTGGTTGCCGCTATGGATTCGGAAGCTTCTCTTTCATAAATTTGCCTAAAACGCAATGCTTCGAGTTCTGCTTCTGGCTTGCTCACTGAGTAAAAACTCGTGTTGCTGTAGTTCCCGTCGTAGTTCTTCATCGCCTGTTGATGTATTCAGGTTGACGACGTTGAACCGTGTCATTGCCAACAAGTTGTTTACTGTTGGCGCACCCGTTACGGTGGCTGACGGCATACCTGCTAGGGTAGCTTGTGTCGCCTCTTGGAGAGTAACACTGCCACCACTGTTTAGCATCTGTTGGTACACCTCCGAAGCTACCCTTGGATCCATTGCTGCCACCTGAGCGACTGCCTGCTCATGTCGTTGGGCTGCATCCAAACTATTGGGTAAACTTGGAACAATGTCAAAGCCACTTCCGTAGGTGTTCGGTGCGACGTCATCGTCCATCGGGTCCATAGCTCTACACTAGCTAGCCTACGGCTGATAACCTGTATTTTACAGGATCAGCTCTAATAGCACTAACTACCTAGCTAACCCTGTACTACCGCTAAGCGTCCCTTTTAGCTCTACCTTGAGAACTCACGCTACGGGGTCCATGGGGATGAGGTGAATTTCAACACAAACAAACAAACCAGAAAGGAACGCGCAAAGAAAAACACCCAGGAAAGCAAAGGGAGTGTTACGGAGTGTTCAGCCTTCTTGGCATTGCATGAGTTGAGTTCGTGACAGTGTCGAATTTCTCACAAAGTGCTACCCCAAAAGTCTAACCTGTGAAACCACAAAGCATTCGACTAAAAATAGAACAGGATATCAAATGATGTCAGATTTCTCTTCAAAAACTGATGAAGTCTACAACTTTGTCTAGTCTAACCTGAAGTAATTTCCAAACCAACATTCAAAGGTATTTGACTCCTTGATTTTTATCCTTTTCTGCTCCCTCGCTCGCGGCTTGTCTGCATTTAGCGAGGATTGAGGATTACAGTACGTGCTTGTCTGCGCTTGAGCTTTTGGTCGGTTGATGAGGACGGAGATGGGGAAGGCTCAAGGCCATTTGGCAAGGTATCAAGAACTAGAGCTGTGCCGTGCTTGATACCATCGCTGACTTTCTTCGTGGAGCCTTCTTTGTCTGCCTTTCATGGGGGATGGAAGTGGAAGGATGTTGGGTTTGGCGTTTGGGTCCTATTTTTGGTACTGCTCTATTTTGCATGTGTGGTCTTTGAGGCTTTGAGGCATTCTCTTGCCTGGGTACTGCTTGTGCTTGGTCGCGGAACGCGCTTTCGTACCATGCAGTGACACAGTTCTCAACTCTGATATTTTGGGTGGGTGGATGGATACTTATGGAGACCTGGGCCAGCTGGAACTTGCAGTCCCTCTGACATGACTGGCTTCTTTTGCACCGTTCTCCAGCACCCAAACTGGTTCGCCAATGGTGGCAGTTCGCTCCTCCAGCAGCTGCAGGGCAGCCCTCCATCCCCCCACTGCCATGCTCGTGTTGAAGGTGATTAAGTCCTGCGAAGCGTTGATGTAAGAGAGTTCCAACAGGCGAGCGCTGACAACAGTCTCCACAACAGAGAGCCTCCAGCCTGCGTGTCCACCCCGCCTTTGGTGGATAGTGTCTTCGGGAAGTCACATGTTAGGAAAAAAGCTGTTGCAAAACTTTCAGTTTGCCGCCCACCACAGTGCATCCGCAAGCCAGTCCGGGACCAAATGCGCAGACTTCATCTTTACAAAAAGGGCCAAAGCATGCCACCACTCTTCTCCTCGCGAACAAAATACCATGCGTGAAACAAGGCAGTCTTGGCTCTTTGAACCGAAAGCTCTCGATTCTGGATCATTGTAAATTATCACCAGCTTATGATTTTTCTTGGTGGCTTCTAGCAAGGTACCTTTTTCAAAGTCTTCTAGCTCCTTCGCCGTCAGCACAAGAACTAATGGCAGTGTTGTAAGACACCACGTTGGGCATAGGGTCTCGGCAAGGGTCGCGGGCAGCACGCCAAGCTCGGAATCCCCGCAATTCCCAGAGTCCACAAGAGTCTGTTCTCCGGGAGATATTCGCAGGTTTGTGCCAAGTTTAGAAGGATCGCATGGAAGTAGGATCTACAGGCAAAGGTCACCCTCCAATATCTTTCACAAAAAGCTGCTTCCTAATCGGTGTGGGTGAGGCGCACTCATCTTTGCAAGTCTTAGCTCTCATTCAACCAACTGTCGTAAAGATCCCTCTCATCTCAGCTGTCCAGCTGTCATCATCTGGAATGTCTCCAAATTCGGAGCTTGGAAACCAGAAAAAGATTCAAACAGGAACAATGCTCAGGCAGGATTAAAAGGGCCTCCAAACCGCTTCTACATCAGGCTATAAAAAACAGAATACATGAACATGGCACCTTGCATGCTTTCCAGAAGCGCTAAAGCATGGTCCCAGCAGCGCGCCGCAGCCAGAGCGCTTAAGGCTGAGTTGAAACCTCAAGAGCGCAAAGGCGATCCCAAATGCAAGGGCAGCAAGGCAAGGGAGCGGAAACAGAAGTGCACGCAGAAACAAAAGTGTATTCTGGACATTCTACAATTGAGCTAAACAAACTCTGACGTCTTTTACGATTTCTATCGAGCTATGTAAAACGCCGTTTCAGACGAGCTGCGGCGATTGCCCTGGAAAGGAGGGACCGTCAAGGCAACAATGGAAGAACGCACCCCAATAATTCAATACAGCGACGTGCAAGCTATCAGCCCAGCTCGTTCTGGGTTAAAAAGTGATTCTAAGAACCACCAATAAGGTGGTGGATGGAAGAAATCCTGCGCTTAGAGATTTCAATAGTAGGAAGCCCATTCAAGCATCCTTAAGCATCGCTTCAGAACCCTCGCCCTGCGTTTTGTTGTTCCAACTGCTAAGATCGCTGCTTATGACATCAAGTCCTTCAGGGTTCTTTCATCAAAGTCTGGTCAGCTCCTCTGAGTGAATTCTGGGAGGTTCGAAATGCCTCAAGGTGGACCTTGCAAAGTAGCAGGGGCATCGCTACTAGTAGTAATGCGCTTGTTACTAGTACCGATGCACCTTGCTGGGAGAAATCCACCCTGTCCTTGGCGAGCTAAGTAGTGAAGACTCCGCTGCCATTCACTTCCTGCGCAGCCCGATGGAGCTCGGCCGGCCAGAAAATTGAGGATCTAATCCAATTACGTATATATCTATTTGCACTGACTCAACGGCCATTCTTTGAGTGGCTATTGGGAACAAGAAGCTACTAGAGGCTCCTGGCCTTACTACTAGGAGCAAGGACGCTACTCGGGGCTCCTGGCATTGCTACTAGTAGCCAGAAGCAGTTCCTCCAATGAACACTCGTTGTTCTCATCCTCCAGCAAAGGCGGCCAGGAGGGTGTTGAGCCCCACCAAATCCAGGCCTCGCCCTGGGCAAGTGCTTTGGGTAGTGTTTGAAGCCCATCAGAAAAGCTTCTACAAAGTGCCACTGCATGTGTTTCAGGGCAGTCCTTCAAGCAAATCAATATAGAAGAAAGACTCTTGGATCAAACAATTTGTGGGATTGAAGGGTAGCAAGACCCACCCACTGGCCTTTGCAAACCTCCAACGCCACCTCCCATTGGGCAGCGGCCTGGCCACGCGATGCTGGAAAGCAGGCAGGTGTAACAGCTGTAGCTCTCTTGAACCGATTTGTGTAAAGACCAGGTTGTTTTTGTGTCACTATGGGCCTAATCTGCTGTGTCTGCAGCCGTCCTGCACTGCTGCACAGGCCACCTGTCACCTGTACACAAGAATCTCTACACTTTCCGCATGATGATGGTCAGTTGCATCCAGGAAGAAAAGGCTCACTTGGACATCCGGCTGTCTTTCCCTGTGGTGCGGCCTGGCACACTGCCAAGCAAGCATTGAAGCTCGCGATATCAACAGGTTGCCGCCTGCAAAAGAAAAGGGATCCCTGCGAATCTCAATGGCTCTGAGGCTCTATTTCTTTGCTGCAGAGTTCCGAACACATAGAGGGATGTGGGTAGAAAAAGGGGTCGGGTCTCAAGGATTGGCCTTTGTGGCGCAGCGAAGGCCTTCTCCATTGCAAGCACACATCATTTCCCCCCTACTGGTTGAAGGCAGTGAAGGGCGTGATTAGATCGTGTGCGTTTCCGGCAGACTTGCTAGTAGCGTCCTTGCTCCTAGTAGAAATGCCCTTGTTACTAGTAGCTTCTTTTAGTAGTACTGCCAGGAGCTACTAGCAACGTCCTTGCTCCTAGCAGTCCAGGCAAAACCGCATTATTTTTCATGAAAAAACATTTTCGCCTCAAAAGCAGCTGCAGCGCATGCGACCAATGGGCCACCCTCCGCAGCGCGCTCAAGCCACCCAGCCACGATGCCAAGGTAGGTTTGAGCCTCCTCAGGTCACGGATTTCGGGACTTTTGGTTGCGTCGTTCTTTCCTCTGTCCTTTCTTTCCTTACCTATATATATATATATATATATATTTATTTGTATATATATGTTATATGAACATATAGATAGATAGATAGATAGATAAATAGATAGATAGATAGATAGATAGATAGTTTTTCAGTTTCAGTTTCCATCGCTCTCAAGTGGTCTCGAGACGGCGAGGGCGCGAAGGGGTTAGCTCCTTCGGCTAGCACAGTGGCCAGTCACGCCGCACCGTGGTGCACACACCAAATCAAATAAAAATCCTCCAGAAGACAAAAGCCGCTATGGCATCTTCAGGGATCAAAAAGAAGACATTTCTGCTTATCCGTGGAGCTCAATCTTGGCTGGAGAAGCACATTCGATCATTTCTGGCGATCATTTCTGGACATCTGGTTGAGCAGACGGTTCACAGTCTTGGCTATCCAAGGAGAACACTGTCTTATGCAGGGACCTGGTTCACAGTCACAGCTGTGAAAAGCAAAAGGCAGCCGATTGCTTCTGCAATCTGTTGCCTTCAAGCCCCAGTCGAATGTTCAGCTAAGATTCGAGACTTCCCTGCGCTGCTGCAAAAACAAATCAACTTTCAAAATTTGAGCCCTCTCAGGGTGCCTCAGTTTGACGTGCCGTCGAAGCATCGTGCGACACAATGAGCTTTCCACACAGGCAGCAATGCGAGCGCAGCTTGCTGAGAACATCCTCCAGGTAGGCTTCCAAGCGGAGTTCATGCTGCTCATACAAAGTGACCACAGTCCTTGGAAGGGTGTCGATGCCTAACAGTCCAAAACGGCCAAGGCCAAGATCCGTGCAGTCCTCACGAGCCAGCCAGACAAAAATCCAGCTGTCAGTCAAAGGAGGTTGCGCTCCAATCACTTGAGCTTCTCCCTCATCCTGTCCCTGATGAGCAACAGCTGCCACCACAATGAATGGTTGGTGAACAAATCCAAGCTTGTTCTCAGATTGGAACGGGAGCCAAACTCGTGCGTTCACCTCGAGCTTCCAGTTGCGCTTCTCCACTTGACCTGAGTCAGCCAGCTCATATCGATCAATGTGCAAGCATGCAAGTCGGCCGCACGTGGTAAACGTTGTTTGCGTGCTGAGGTAGTTTGTCCATCCATCTACGAGAGACTGCAGATCTATTTCTTCAGTGCGTGGTGGAGCACTCAAGGTAGGAGGATTGTGAGGTGCCCCACGATCAGTGGTGTTCATCATGTCCCCTTCCTGTACAAGCCTCTTCCAAGAGCTATTCACACATATCGGTCTTGTCCATTCAAGGAATTGACCGAGAAATTCATGAAGACCCTGCTGCCCACATCCCCATGGGCGGATGAACTCTCCAAAAACAGGCAGGTCCTTGATGCTGACCCACACGCTTTCCAAACTAAACAGTTCTGCAAAACGCTCAGCTCCATCTCCAAGGTCATTCCAGGTCGGATGCTGAATTTGGAGCAGAGCCCAAAACAGAGCCGTCAGTGCAGCGTTCTGATAGCAGTCATTGCCATCATTGCTGAGCCTTACTGCCATGAGCCATCCCATCACGATCTCCTTCTCGATTGGCCAAAGGATCCCTTCGCCAAAGTGGCAGCGACTGGGTTCTCCCTCACTGAGTGCGGACGGAGCCTCCCCAAGATGAGGCTCCATGCTGATGATGATGCCGTGAGGAGTCGAAGCACTTCGTACAGCCTATGGTGTCGAAGGCTGATTTGCATCATCCATGGTAGGACTTTGATGTGGGAGTTCTCCTCGTCCAGAGTCTTCAATGATTTGAAGCGGACCACTGCTGCAGGGTCCCGGACAAGCTCCACCAGTTCCTCGAGGATGCTCTGCATGCTGGTCATGGAGACTGGTTGTTTGCTCATGGGCTGGGCTTTGCGCTCCTTCGCATTCCATGCCAAGTAATTCTAGCAGCCACTTTCGGTAATGAGCTGACGGCGAAGGGCCTCCTGCCAGATCTCTGTCGCGGGAGTGGATTGCGCCACCTTCAACGTGCGTTCCAGGAGAGTCTGGGTGATCATGGTGATGAGCTTTTGGCGAAGAGATTGGTTGGCACTCTGCTGTTCGACTTCCCGCTTCCAGTCGGAGGTGCACTGCTGGACGCACGGTAGGATGCTCGATGTTGCTGTTGAAGGAAGAGGATGAAGGTATCCTGCACCGCCAGAGCCTGGAGCTGGCTCTCGTGTGGCCAGCGCTTGCATCATCTTTGGAAGTTGGTCGGAGGTACCTTTCGACGCCGTGTCGGTCTCGTGCTTGGGTCTCTTGAGTGCGTTGGGCTTTGGACTCTCGAGCAGGGTCCCGAATGCGTCGGTCAGCTGCCCCGTCAGATCGTCTGGCGTCATCTCGAAGTGAGGCATGGCGCACCAAGTGAGCGGCCAAGTTCACCGTCAATGGGCACTGATCTACCACTGCTGTTGATTTCCAGCAATATGCGCAGCAGAAAGGAGTCGGACTCATGCATTGAGGTGCAAAATCAGTGACGGAGTTCATGAGGTCCGCATGGTGCTCATATAGATGATCAACCATGTCCAGTGTGGATGGAGGCGTGGCCTGGAGGCGCGGATTTGTCTTCGGTTGCATCAGCCACATCAGATTCCGGATTCACCGCCAAATGCAGGAGAGCCAGTTGTGTAAAGACCATACACTTGTGTAGTTACCACAGAGGCAGGGCTTGCCACTGGCAACAGCAGTATTCTGATATCTGCATTCCAAGGCCTGGAGCAAGATGCTGGGCAATACCACCAGGTCGGTCGACGAGATTGCCTTCCACACAATACACATGAAGATCGAAGTGCAGCTTGATACACTGTATTGCTGATGATACTATCGATGTCATGGTCCAATGCCAGCTTCCGTAAATTGGGCCATAAGCGCGGTACATGCCCCCCTGGTGGACGATTGGGGTTGAAGTGCTTGCAACCGTGCTCAATGTGATTGCGGAGACTGAAAAAGGAGGCGAACGTTTTCATACAGTGACTGGAGTCTGGCAGTGGATGTGCTGGATCTGGCTTGGGTGGCGCTCGTCAAGCAAGTCCTTGGACCACTTGTCCTGCCACACATCAGAAGAACTATTGCCATCTGTTGTAGGGCATGGCAGCTGTGGGTTGCAGCCTTGTCAATGCCACAGGCCAAACAGGCCTTGGCGCTGTTGATCTGAATCACAATTTCAGACATCTTGGTCATGGATCTTTCCCACAAGAGTGGCATCTGGCCAGGCGCCGTAAGACATCTTTCCCTGTTTGGAAAGCTCTGGCGCAAATGACACAATGTTGTCTGATCCAGTTCATGAGGTCAGGACGCTCGAAAAAGGCATCCCACGATTGAGTTCGTACATAGTGCCTGAGGTCCTCATTGTCACATGGAGGTACCTGGAGAGCACGGTGCACATTGAAGTTGGGACAACTATCAAATTCAATGCGATGTACAAGTCCAACCCATTGAGCAAACTTACCAAGACAATGCGTACACTGCGGTTTGCCGAGGTATGCATCTCTCAAGTTGACAAATTGTTGAAATAATGGTAGTGCTTTATGACGTTTGGCAAGATGTCGATGATACAAGGCCAAGGTCCCAAAAGTCTGCTCACAGTATGGACAGCCGTGGATGGTGGGCGCACAAGGAGGACCATCAGGTTCATCAGCAGGAGGTGGATCCTGAAACACTTGCATTACCCTCTGTTGGGTTCTGTCAATGGGAATGCGGTGCATTAAGTCCCAGTCTGGAAGGCCTCCACAGGTGGATCTGAACTTGTGGAAGGCTTGCTCCCATCTGTCCTGAAAAAAGACACGAGGTGGTTTGAGATGAAGACGAGAGAGCAAGTGCCCAGTGGTCTCGTGAGTCACATGTTGAGGTGATCTTCCAAGTCTTCTGATGTCAGAATGAACACGATTGCAAAGCTGTTGGAGTCCCTCCTTGCGGAGTCCACTGCATCCAAGGCCATGCGCGTAGCTGGACAAGACACAAGTTGCCCACAGCTTAGCGCGATCACAACTAGTCAGAACATGCTTGCCAGTGAACCAAGGTCTCATACGCATGCATGTGATCTTGCCTATTTGAAGCCTGTGTCTGAGTGTGAGCTGCTCAAAGTGGGTGAAGGAGAGTTGGGCGCCCAAATACGTGTGATGCGAAACAAGCTTGATCAAGGTGTGTCCTTTCAACCGTGGAACAACAAGCCAACGTTGGCCATCTTGCCATTTGGTGAGATGTTTAATGCAAGTTTTCATGCCCTTCCCTTCAACCCGGAGCAAAACTGCCGTCTTGTCAAAGGAAATCACCAGCCCTGCTTGCTCTAAACAATCAAAAATAATACTAATCTGACAAAATGCTTGTTTCAACTCTTGTGCATTGCAAATCCACCATTTGCTCAGTATGTCATCCGCGTAGGTGATCAAGTGTGAACATACCCACTCAAAAGCCTCTTGAGAGCTGGGAGCAGATTTGCATGCCAATCAAATTGCATATGTGAACAAGAAACGCTGTCCACTCTAGCGGGATGCATCCCTGTCGAACACCTCTAGACGTCCTCAAGGCGCAGGTCAGACCATGATGTCTGAGATGATAGCGAGCCTCAAGGAGTGTGCCCTTCACTTCCTCTTGCTGGATCGGCCATTTGACATCTTGACGTCCTGCTGCTTCGAGTATTTGGCCAATGAAGTGGCCAAGGGGTTCTCCTTCCAAATGCTGCTCTCCCGAATCGAGAGATGAAGCAAGAACGGGCAGATCTGCTGGCGCTTGATCTCGGTGGAGGTGTTCTTCAGAGATTTGAACCGCAGGATATGGTGGTCCTCTTGGGCTGCCTCAACCTGATCCTCCAGCAATTTCTGCATCTTGACCACGTCGATGGCTGGCTTGTTGGTCTGCTTGGGACATTTGGCTTCGCCGCACCACTGTAGGTAGATTTGCCCTCTGAGGTGATGAGCTGGTTCTTGATGGCTTGATCCCATTCCTGACTGGATTGGGACAGTTGGGCCA